TTTCTGTTTTTTTTTTTTTTTTTTTTTTTTTTTTTCAGGAGTCATAATGAACGGATTAGGCATCTTTTTTGTATTTCAATTGTTCTTATTGTTCGTTGGTAAGGAATAACTTCCACTCAATTAGCCTTTCTTTTTTCCCTTTTGTTTTTATGTTATATCTTGATTCTTATTTGTAATTTTTAAAAAATTGAAAAAATTATATTTTTTATTAACATCTAATCCTCTTATTGACTGTACATGAAATCCTTTTGTCACGAAATTCAGAACAATGCTTGGCTGTTTAAGTACAATAATTAACAAAAAAATATGATCTAATTAAAGTCAGCAGATGTAGTTGTTCTTGCTTCTGTATTATAATGTGGATTAAGTTCATTTTTTATTTTTTATAAACAATAAGAAATTAAACTTAATCAAATTTGTACTGACTAACTACTTAAAAAACCTTAATTAAGTCAACATAAGACACTACAAGAAAATGGATATTTTGTGATGGAAAATTGATTACAAAAACTCATATTTTTTGTCACAAATTAAATTTATAACTAAATTTTAGATTTTTATAATTAATTTTACTGTCACAAAATACCCATTTTCTTGTAATGAGAGAAGATAACTTTTGATATTAAAAAAGGAAAAAAAAAACAATCTTTTCGCTTTAAATCATAGAAAGACAATGAATTATTATTGAAGTGATGAAATTCATTTTTTCTTCTAAATATATAACTCAATTATTGCAGTTCCACTCCTCAAACTAGATCTACCATGCGTATTGATTGGAGTGCCTTTATTTTGGTTACTTGGTAAGCAATTACTTCCACTCAACTTGTATACTTTATAATTCTTTTTCACTTCATTGTATATGGATGTGTATGTTAATCGTTTTAATTAAGTTCATTTTTTGTTCCGAATTAAAAGGCAACTTTTTTGGCTATATATCATAGAAAGGCAATCAAGGATTGCAGTTATGAAGGCCTTTCTTTCTAAATGCTTGATATAACCCAATTTATTGCAGTTGCACCAGAAAAGAATCTGCCTCTATTGCTCGAACGGTTTGCAGTGTTTATCTTGTTACTTGGTAAGCAATAACGTCTACTCTATTTCAGTAGTTTTACTTTTTCTTAGCTAGCAGATTCTGAAAACTTCTCTTCCAAACTTCTCTGTAAATTGTGAATTTGATTTGAGATGAATGATACGCAGGATAGAGAAGAGATCAACATGAATGATTCCACAATAATTAGTAAGATGTGTTTATATAGAAAAAGGAAGAGACTTTTGGTTTTGGACACATCTATGGACAAACAGACTTATCTCTTGTCCAAGTACTTTATTAACTACAAGAACAATGATTAGTACACACTTCGGTTTAACACACCGCACAACACACCACACAACACACTCATTAAAAAATCACTATTTCTTAATTTGAAATTAAAGGCAGACAAATTTAAAGATACAATCATACACATAGGATATAGAAACCAGTTGAATAGACAACTATATTTATATTATATTTTTAATAGTTGAGCCGAAAGTATGTTAAAAAATATGTTGAATTGAGAGTGTACAAATTATTTTCCTAACAACAAACGTCTATTGTCAACAAATTTGTTTGTCTCTTCGCCAATCAATTTGTTAACTGCTAACTTCCCTCTAACTTGAAAAGTTCCAAAATAATTAACAAATATCAATTATTTTTTTTATTTATCTTCCAAACCAAAGTCTCCTATATGATTTATCCCTAATGTGGGGCAAGTTAGGGGGGTATGGTGGACTTGGAGAT